GGCCACATGCACGTCGTCAAGTGGTTGCACAAAAACAGGTGCGAAGGATGCGGAAGGTTTGTTTTATATATGTCAGTCCACAACGGCCATTTGGATGCGGTGAAATGGCTAGTTGAGCACAAGCCGGAAGTGTGTCAGATGGGAATGGTGCAACTTGCTGCTAGGACAGGTTATCTGGATATGGCTGGCTATCTAGATGAAAACACGGGGCAACGTGGTGAATGGGGTCTAAATGCTGCTGCTAAAGAAGGATTTGCCAGGGTGCTTCCCGTGCTCATAAAACGTTACTGCATGAATGACAAGCTTAATGAAAGCATGTACCCGTGCTCCGAGATATTATCGAGTGAGCTTACAAACCAGGGCGCGACTCCAGCTTCTCCATTGTGGTACAAGTCATTGAAAATGCTTAAGCTCTTGCACACTGATCGATATCACAGATGTGTGTCCGTGATACTTGATCTAGCACTGCAACGTGGATACTTGGTCATGGCTCGACAATTTTTCGAGCGCAGAAACGAACAGGAAAAGTGTCAGTATGTTGCTATTGCTGTTGAAGGAGGTCACGAAATCGTATTAATGAGGTGGCTGATCGAGAATGGGACCTCATTGAGCGTTGATACAGCAATTAATCTTGCCTCAGATCTTGTCGTGTACAAAGAAACCTACGTCGAAGCTATTTGGTGGTTGTCTGAAAGCGACCGTGTGGCTCTCATTCATGACGCTCTAGAGAATAATCGCCGCAAGGTATTGCTGTGGGTGCTACAAAATACCGTTTTCGAGGATGAAACTTCTTGGTATGCTATTCGAAGTGGTCTCAAGATGGTTGATAACGCTGCAGCCCACTGGCTTTCTAAAAACCTCCCGAATGATGAGGCTCGTAGTTGGTGTTTTCCATCGCAGCAAAAGGAACCAAGCGCTGCTACTACAGATAGAAGATAGAAGCGAGCGCACTAGAATGAAAGTAGTGATCGAAATGTGTAGTACGCGTTTACAATCATGCAGACTAGGGAAGCATTGTAGACGGGCACTTCTACGAAGTTTCCTCGTACTACGAGCACACACCTTATGCACAAGCGAGGAAGCGGTTAGACCGTCTTACCTTCGCGTGCGAGGGTGTTTATGCGGTTGGTCGACTGCTTAAGCAGTCGTACCACCACTTGCCTCTCGCTTAAGCGAGAGTGCAACGAACTTCTAATACAAGAAGGCACCAACGTCACGCAGAAGCTTTTCAGCTTCTCGTGCGTGGTGCTTCGGTGTTTAAGTAAGTTCAAGACTGGTTTATATTTAATAGATTTTAACTAAATATAAATCTAACTACTGATTGGTTAATATGTAATGATGGGTGCCATCTATAGATGCGCATCCCAACGTGCGAGCTTATATATATATAATCTCGCTCAATGACGTAACTGACTGACGTCATTTGATGACGCCTAGTCCCAGCTGGGCGTGATCCCCATCAATGTGAATACACCTAGTGTATATCAC